TGTTTTAAATTGATTCTTTCAAACCTTTATCAGTTAATAACTTGTTTAAGAAAATTCTTTGCCAAAATGCTTTTGTTTTTTATTTGTTTAAAACTATTTTTGAGGCATTTTGCAAATTGAGTGAAGAAGCTTTATGCAGTGGAAAAGGTAAAGTGGTTTTACCTAAGCTTTCTGTTTAGACACACTAAGTCTTCAGCTCCTTTGTTCTGAGTGACTTGTTTGACTGCTGCAGAGTTGACCCTTGACTTTATCTTTGACTTCATCAAATCAATGAGATCTTTGCTAGGATCACTTTCAAACACTTCCCCGAACAAATCAAAAGATAAACAACAATCACCTAAAAAAGGAATTAAGACAATAAAATAACAACAACCACCTAAACTCACAAAGGATGAAGATAATAAAATAAGAACAGTCACACTTGATAATAAAGACAATAAATTGTAGAAGCCTGTAGAATGATAACTCCAAGAACATAGTGTGATTGACAATGAAAGCGCAGAAGGCAATATGAAAAAGTTTTCTCAGAAAACCTAAAAGTGTTTTGTTACCTTGCTCAGAATAAAATTCTTAAAACTGAATGTTTGTAAACTGTATTTTCGAATTCTGTGATTGTGTGTTTTGATTTTTCTTGAAAATTTATTTAAAAAGAAAAAATAGCATCAAAAAATAGTTGTTGATCATTAATAATTTTGTAGAGAAAAATCATGATGTATCCAAAAATGTTTATTCTTCAAAAACAGATATATTTTTCAAATTTAAACTGCCATAATCGATTATGTTACCAGTATAATCGATTATGACAGAGATAATTGATTATGATAGTGAAAATGTCATATTACAAAATTTTATCACACTTGTGTTTTGTAGGCTTATACATAATACTACTTCATCAACTTGTACCTCCATATCTAGTGTTCTAAGACTCTATCTAGTCTTCATGCTTCATCTTGGGCTTGCTTGAGTCATCATCTTCTTCATAATGTATATCTAGTCTTCAGGCTTCATCTTGGGCTTGCTTGAGTCTTGAATGGTGTTAACTTGAACCTTCATCAAAATCATCTTATTCAGAATGTAGGGAAATATTTCACATAGCTATTAATCTTCCCATAGTGCTTTCAATAAGCTCATATGTATCTTATGCTCAGTTTAGGAATAAGTTCTCTAAAAAGGTAATTGAACACATGATACCAATCTCTTAAGTAAATCGTAGTACCACTGAAGTGTAACACCTCTCAATGTTGTTAGAAAACTCAAAAAGGAATCTTTATCCAAGTATACCTTAACTTGGGTGAGATATGCTTGGATATGCTCCTCATGATTGAACTACTTGTAATGGGTGTTCTTCAGTGGGAAGGAAAGGGGTTGTCCATTATTTCGATCGTGAATGGGTACTCGTACATATTATTGAATGGATTGAGTATATTAAGTGTGGTTGCTAAGTGTGCACTTGATGCATGTGTGTACTTGAGTACCTGCTTGGCCAAAGTGCGTATTTGTTGAGTGTATCTAACTTCTTGGAAAAATGTTTAGAATTTTCTCATTCCTGTCAAGTACGTCTTTGTTTGTGCTCAAAGTGTGAACAAGATTCTACTGTCACATTTCAAAATTGACGAGACGAGTTGGTAGTTTAAACCTGTTCCGCCTAGATTGCCAATCTGACAAGCCAAGGATGAGACGAGGCGAGTTGGTCCGCTAACCTGCTTATAATTAAAAATATTACATTTTTTGTGTTATATTGTTGAAATATGCAAATATACTAAAATATTATAATTTAAATTATAAATACTAATCAATTAAACTTAAATTATTTATTATAATTGGATATAAAAATTTGTATATAAAAAAAATATATTGGGGAGCTAGCCTACTAGCCCATCGAGTATATCCTTTGACATGACAGATTGGGGTCTATAATCCATCTTAATTATAGCAGGTAAGCTCATCCAGACTCGTTTTTGGTGGGATAGACAAGACATACTTATCCGTTTTAACATCTCTAGTCACAGCTTGTCCTTGCTCATTCTTTGATTGTCACTTTTAATCGCTTGGTCCTTAGACCAATTATCTGTTAAACATACAAGGATATGGAGCTTGCAGATTTTGATGATGATTCAAGAACAAAGGACTTAGAGATTTGAAGACTTGTAATCTTATGTAATAACTCTATTTTTATGTTTTTGAGTCTGTAATATTAGAGTCTACGATAGCCAGCACATAGACCATTCTTTAAAAACTTTAAAAACTCATTTTTATCAAAAATACACTATGATAATCGATTATCACTCAGGATAATCGATTATCACAGGCAAATAATCGATTATCACTTAAAATAATCGATTATTTACATCTGTTATGAGTTTTGAAATTCAAATTTGAACCAATTTACGAAAACCCTATTCCCAATTCTTCTATTTTCGAAAATCACCATTTCCCAAACCCTATTCTCTCTACTTAAGGTTCTTTAAGGCTTTCTGCAAATTAACAAACATTTTTCATACAAAAGTTAAGAGTTGTGACTGCGAGAACTTTCTATAGGGAAGAAAAAAGGGCTTTTGAAAACCTAGTGTGGGCTAGAAGCGATAAGAATCACTGAGTGGGTTTCTTGGTGGATTGTGTGTTGTGCCGTCTCTAGAAAAAGTTGTTCTTCATCCTTTGTGGATTCAAAGGAGGTGTTCATCTCTTGTGTGGCTCAAGAGAGGTGTTTTCTATTCCTTATCTTTCCAATTTGTAATCTATTTGTAAACTGTGATTATAGTGACGGTGTTAATCCTCTGTTTGAGTGATTAACAACTGGACATAGGGTCTTTTGATTTGAACTAGTATAAATCAACTGTGTAATCTTCTTTCCCTTATCTATTTACTTTACAAAGCATTTTAATCGGTGAAATTTGGGAAAAATTTTAAAACCCTAATTTTTGTTTAAGAAACCAATTCACTTCCCTCTCTTGGATTTTGTCCGTAAACGCAAACATTATACTGCGCGATTCTAACATTCTCAAAGTTGCACATGCATGCACATAATTGTCATTATTATGTAGGATGACCAAGTTGGGTTGTAGTTGTGTGTTCATCTATTGTTACATTTTGCAATATGCGACTTGAACTAGCGATGATTATGACTACAACCATTTTTGGTGATGATAAACTTGGTTGTCTTGTTTGAACTCTAGGTTGTGGTTTAAGGAAAGTTTTACCTTATCACAGAATAAACATCAAATATTCTTACTTATATTTAAGATGTTGGTTAAGCTCTATGATATACCTTGCAAGCTGTTTTGACTAGTATTAGAAAGAAGTTAAAACTAGGGCAAAAGCTCTCTCATGCATGCGTTAGTAAATAAATGAATGAACAATCAAATCATATAAAAGTACCTAGATGAAAGAAATACTGTACCCCCATAATCATAAGATACTTAATTTTTATTTTATTAGATACATGTCTAATATTTCATAAGATACTTAATATCTCACTCAATTACCTTATCTAATCCAATGATAAGTTCAAGAATCATCATTCTAGACTTAATTTAAGATTCCTTCTTTTATGTATCTTCTTATTCTTGCTCTTAATTTTAAGAATAATAATAATAATAATAAATCATTAACCCACACTTGAATGTAGGCATGACAGAGAGAAAGAGCAGGGACCCATTCCATTTTTGACTTTTTTAACCATTCTCACTCGTGTCCCTTGTCCTTGTCAAAGTTAGAAATTTAGACCTCATTCTCATCCTGGTTAAGTTTCGAGTTTTTCCGTTCTCATTATTTCTAAAACAAAATAATTATACTTATAATAAATTAATTTTAATATTTTTATATATTTTTTATACATAAATAAATATATAATTTTATAATTTATAATTATTATTAATTAAATATATATTTTAATAGTATGTAACAATTTTATCATTTTTTCTTTATATAAATATAAAATACTTATAACATAATAATAATAATAATAATAATATATTTAAACATTTTATTATATATATAAATTAATTTTTTTAAGCTATTATTTAAAAATATGAAATATATAATTTATAAGAAAATATTTAATAAGTTAATTTTTATTTAATTAGTTTAAAGTAATAAAAATAAATTATTAATTTTTTAAAATATAATTATTTTATTAAGATAAAATTTAATATATGATAAATAAGAAAATTTTAAAAAATTTGTCACAATAATATCTAATAAAAATAAATTATAAATAAAATAATATTAATTATTACTAAAATTTATATAAAATATTTTAAAAAATAAATAAATAAAAAATTAATTTTATATTCATCAAATTAATTTAAAAGATTGAAAAAAAATAATTAATAAAAATAAAGGAAATGAAATGAAATAAAATATAAAGGAGAAAATAATGTAATCTAATGAAGTAATTGATATAAAAAATTTTAAAAAATAAAATAAATAAATAATAAAATATAAAAAAAAATATTTTTAAAATATTAATATTTTAAAATTAAAATTTAAATATAAATATAAATTTGTCATGGATTAAAATATAAAAATTAAATATTTTATTTATAACCTATCTAAAGTATCATTTATTAAAATATGCGTTTATTTGAAAATTATAAAAAAATAGTATCATTTTATTAAAATTATAAAGAAGATATATTATAAAATTAGAAGGGATATGAATAGAATTTTTTTGGAGAATAAGAGTAATCTATTTAATTATTTACTGAGTAACTACTACAGTAAACTGAACACTTTTTTCATTACTAAACATTAAACTTAAGCTCTTATATATTTATAGTACATACAAATTAAATTAAATTAAATTCAATATACATTAAACTTAAGCTCTTATATATTTATATTACATACAAATTAAACTAAATCCAATACAAATGCCTGAAAATTTGGAACGTGAAATATGGCAACCTACAGCGACGTTTTCTTCTAATTTGTTTTTCCGTGACATGGAATAATTCTCTCTCTCCGAGATACTCTAGATTGCCGCCGTCGCCGTCGCCTCAATGGAAGGAGGTGGAGGAACGCTGTCGGAGATTCACCAATCCGCAAAGAAGCTTCTGCTTAGGACTCGAGACGGCCTAGAACGTCTCGAGCGCCTCGAGTACTCTGCCACCGCCGGCACCGGCGCCGACACGGAGCTGTCGTTCGCCGTGATGAAGGACATAACTCAAATCCAATCCCTCTGCGTCGAGATGGACCGTCTCTGGCGATCTGTCGCTGCAAAACCACAACGAGATCTCTGGAAAAGGTGAACGATTCGGATCCCGATGTCGTTGAATCGGTTGTTTCTATGAGGATAATTGCGTGTATCTGAGGAAGTTGCTTCGATGATTTTGTGTGTTGTTGTTGGCGTTGGGGATTGCGCTTTATGAATTATGGAAGAATGCCGACAATTGCATATTTTTTTCTGATGCTATTACTTCTTTGCTTTTGCGCATATTGATTTGCGTTGTGATTATTGGAGTCCGGAATTGAGGCTATTGAATTGTGGAAGAATGATGAATTTCATATCTCTGTTTCTGATGGTACTGCTACGATGATTTTGTGCATGTTGATTCGCTGATTCGCGTTGTGATTATAGGAGTTCGGAATTGTGCTTTTTGAATTGTGGAAGAAGGATGGCAATTTTGTGTTTGAAATGAATCGACAGAATAATTCAAATCAATGCAAAAATGCTGTTACAATGTTGTTTGGAATATGGAATGGAAAAATGCGAGGGATTATAGATTGTTGATGATTCGAAATGTAGGAACGATGTTGTAAGTGTTCTGTGTGTTTTAAGAGAAATTTTGTTGGGTTAGAGGTGAATATGTGTTTTTTCATGTTAGGAGGTTTAGGAAATTTTGTTTTATGCAGCTTCATTTTTGTTTCTGAATTACCTTTTTAGCATTTTTTTCCTTCTATTTTTAAGAATTGATGTAGTGGATTTCAGTCTGTTATTGCAATTTGTGATATATGTTACTGAAAATTCTTGAATCTGCATGCAAAGCTAGACATTGCAAATGCTGTTACCTAATCTATGCATGTTTTCATTAACTGTATGTATTTAGTGTCTTAAAATCATGTAGAAAGTTTGACTTATTTGTGGATGTGTATAGCTAATCTCCATCCACCCTAGAAGAAGTGTTGACTTGATCTGTATGGTCTTTGAAATGTTGACCTGATCGTAGGGTCTCTATAATGCCAACCTAATCCGTAGCGTCTCCATAATGCCAACCGGATCTGTACGGTCTCTATAATGCAAACCTGATTCGTTTGGACCCCATAATGTCAAATTCATATTGAAGCACTTGGGTCGGTGTCTATGTTTAATAAAAACGATGTGCACACTACGTATAATAATGTCTTCACCAAGCTTGACAATTACATGCCCATGACAACTAATTACTAAGTCTGACAATTATATGCCTATGACATGTAATTAACCATCACATACATTGTAACTACTAAAACATTGTGAGTAAATAGGACATCTCTCGTGTATCGATGTACCTTGGCATGCAAGGTTTACTACTTGACACGGGTTGAAATAAACTGTTTTTGGGTCTATAAATAGGCCTAAGATGCCATAGAACAAAATGGCACACATTGAATGTTTTGGCTTGGGTCTCGAGGACCTCTTTAGAGGCTTTGGCCTGAACGTTTTAGCTTCCATTGTGGGGTCCAATAAAACACTTTCAGACGTCCTTCTTGTTTTTTTAACAAACTTAACTCATTGGAGGATGAAATCGGAAATTCCACTAGTTCCACCACCACAATCGTAACTTATCCTTCAAGACAACCATACCTATAACCATCACTTGAACCATACATTAAATAGAAATGCTTTGATTCCTCCAACGCAAACATCTTCCACTTAAAATATCTCACTCATGAACTTTTCTATGTTATCATTATTCTCTCCAAAGTGGCCCTTGTGTTCCACTTCTTGCTTGAAGAACTTATAACCATAGCATCAGAGTCCTGCGTTAGATGTGGTGGTCGACTAGATTTGGGACTTGTGTGCTGATCTCCATTTGAGCTAGGAAAAATGTTGACTTGATCCGTATGTTCCCCGTAATGTCGATCTGATCCAGATTGTCTCCATTATACTAATCTAATTTGTATGGTTTCCATAATGTTAATGACGTGGTATTGGGTCAAACATGATATGTGGCACAAGAAGGTTCTTTGGAGGAGAAGCTACAATATTGCTGTTAGAATTATTATTAGTTAGTTGTTAGTGGTTGGTGGTTGTTAGTAGTTGGTGGTTGTTAGTAGTTGGTGGTTGTTGTTTTAAATGTTGTAATCCTATATATATATATATATAAGATCATAGAGTGGAGTAATGTATCCCACAAAATTAGAAATCTTCTTTACACTCTCTTTACTCTCTTAATTTGGTATCAGAGCAGGTTGGTCCTGCTCTGCCTGTCTGGCCACCGTTCGACCATTTCCGGTCACCGGCCGGCCATTTCCGGTCACCGATCGGCCATTTTCCGGTCGTCGTCCGACCATTTTCCGGTCACTGTTCGGCCATTTTCCGGTCACCGGTCGGCCATTTTCCAGTCACCGTCTGACCATTTTCCGGTCACCGTTCGGCCATTTTCCGGTTACCGTCCGACCATTTTACGGCCACCGTCCGACCACTTTCCGGTCACTTTTTGGCAACCGTTAGTCCCCCGTCCAGTCACCTTTTATTTGATGTCGTCCGACGACTTTCCGACCACCTTCCAGTAACCTTCCGGCTATCTTGGGTGTTCTCTTTCTTACAGGTTTCATTGTCTCCATCTTACATTTACATTATTTAAAACATGTTGTCAGGGCCCACAACCTCCTTTTCCGGAACTCCCACGATAACGTCTGAGAAATTAAATGGAAAAAATTACATGTCTTGGTCCTCTTCAGTGGAACTTTGGTTCCTTGGACAAGGGTTTCACGATCATCTAGAAGAAGACAAAAGTAAGATACCAGAAGATCAGGCTCAACAATGGAAAAAGTTTGATTATCAACTTTGTGCTTTACTGTGGCAATTAGTAGAACCAAATATTTTGAACACTCTCAGATCCTTCAAAACATGTAACTCTTTCTGAAAAAAAGCTCAGAATATCTTCGCAAATGATATCCAATGCTTCTATGATTCCGCTAATCGATTAGCCTCTCTCAAGCAAGTGGATAAAGATATGATGACCTTTATTACTGAAGCTCAATCAGCAGTTGAAGAATTAAAGATGTTCCTAGAGGTGGATTCGTTAGAGGAGATAGAGCAAAAGTTGGATAAATTCTATATGTCCGGGCTATGAATTCAGAATTTGATCATGTTAGAGATCAAATTTTACCAGGACAAGAAGTTCCTTCTATGAAAAGTTTGACTACAAGACTGCTTCGTGTTCCAACTCTCAAAGGAAAAAATAATCAAGAACTTGTTGAATCTTCTGCTATGATTTCTACCCATGGAAGAGGAAGTCGCGACACTAGAGGAGGACGTGGAGGTAGAGGATGTCCTCAGTGCACTCATTGCAAGAGAATGGGTCATACTGTGGAAAATTGCTACTCTTTGCACGGTTTTTCTGATAAAACTGTCAATTTTTCCAAATCTGAAATGATTGAACCCAAGTTCTCTCACGAAGAATATCAAAAATATTTGAGGTTGAAATCCAGTAATCTAGCACAGTCATCAACAACCCCAAATTCATCAACAACTTGCATTTCACAATTTGTGGAAAGTCAAAATCCATGGATTATTGACTCAGGTGCTTCTGATCACATGTCTGGTAATGCCTCTTTGTTCTCTTCTCTCTCATTTCCTAAAACTCTTCATCTCATAACCTTAGCCAACGGATCTAAAGTAGCCTTTAAAGGAACTGGTCACATCTCCATTTCTTTGTCTTTAAACTTAAAATCTGTTCTTTTTGTTCCTTCATGTCCCTTCAGTCTCATTTCCCTAAGTCAATTAACCAAATTATTGAATTGTTCAGTAACCTTTAATGCCAGCTCTTTTGTTATACAGGAACGTGATACGGGTCGACAGATTGGCGAATTACATGAATCTGGAGGCTTATACTACCTTGGGACTAAATCATCTGTATCTTGTGTTGCATCCTTGTCTCCAAAACTATTACACGAACGGTTAGGGCACCCTCACTTATCAAGATTAAAAAAAATGGTTCCTAAACTTCAGACTCTTCAAGATTTTGAATGTGAATCATGTCAACTAGGGAAACATATTAAGTCCTCTTTTCCTAAACGTTCTGAATCTAGATGTGACTCTGTCTTTTCTCTTGTTCATTCTGATATTTGGGGTCCTAGTCGTGTCTCATCCTTTGGCTATAGATATTTTGTTACCTTCATTGATGAGTTTTCTAGGTGTACTTGGATTTATCTAATGAAAGACCGTTCTGAATTATTACCTATCTTTAAGTCTTTCCTTAACGAAATCAAAAATCAATTTGGAAAAGTAATCAAAGTTTTACGAAGTGATAATGCCAAAGAATACTTTTCTATTGATTTCTCTACTCTCTTAAGCTCCCAAGGCATTTTACACTAATCTACTTGTCCTCACAACAAAATGGTATACCAGAACGAAAAAATAGACATTTGGTTGAAACTGCTCGTACTTTATTACTTGGTCGAAATATGCCTGTTCATCATTGGGGAGATGCTATTCTTACTGCATGTTTTCTCATTAACAGAATGCCATCTTCTTCTCTTAACAATAAAGTTCCACACTCTATTCTATTGTCAAAGGACCCACTCTTTCATGTTTCTCCTCGTGTATTTGGTTGCGTATGTTTTGCTCATGATATGTCTCCAGGTTTAGATAAACTATTAGCTAGAGCCATCAAATGTGTCTTCTTTGGATATTCTCGTCTTCAAAAAGGATATTGATGTTATTCTCCTGAAACCAAGAGGTACTACATGTCTGCTAATGTCACTTTTTTTGAGTCAACTCCCTTCTTCTATGCAGGATATTAGTTCGGTCCAAAATGTCCTACCTATACCCTTAGTGGAGCCATTTGTACCTCCTCCTCCTGACACCCAAAATTCCACACAAAATACACCGGAATCCTCCTCACTGCCTCTTATTACCTATCAACACAGGAGTCAAATGGTCAGTCCCATGTCCCAAGATGAGTCTTCCTCAGTAGATCCTTCTCAATCATCCCCTGATACCACGATTCCTGATAATGATGACTCAAGTTGGCCCATTGCCATTCGCAAAGGTACTCGCTCTACTCGTAATCCACATCCCATTTACAATTTTCTTAGCTACCATAGATTGTCTCCTTCCTATTTTTCTTTTGTTTCTTCTGTATCCGCTATTACTATTCCAAAAAATGTGAAAGAGCCACTTGATCATCCTGGATGGCGACAAACCATGATTGATGAAATGCAGACTCTTGAGTACAATGGCACATGGAACTTAATTCCTCTTCCACATGGGAAGAAGACTGTTGGTTGTCGTTGGGTCTATGCCATTAAAGTTGGACCAAAAGGTGAAGTTGATCGACTCAAAGCTAGATTAGTAACAAAAGGCTATACTCAGATCTATGGCCTTGACTACAGTGATACTTTTTCTCCTGTGGCCAAAATGACTACTGTTCGACTTTTCTTTGCTATGGCAGTTATCCGTCATTGGCCTCTTCATCAGTTAGATATTGTTAGATATGATTAGATATTAGTTGATATTGTTTGATATTGTTGAGATATTGTTAGATATTGTTAATCACAATATCAAATAATATCTTTTTATTTACTCTATTTGTATTCTGTTACTCTTTTGAGGAGTACCTTTCTTTATTATAAATACACTGCCCTATGTGTGGTAAATACATAAGGGAAATTAACCCTATACAGTTTTTCCCTATATTCAACATGGTATCAAGAGCTTAAGGTCTCTTGGGATTTTTTTTCGGCTCTGCCACTGAACCTGCAGCTGTCGCCGCCTCCATCGCCGCCGCCGTCGCCACCGCCGTCCGCCGCCGCCGCCGCGTCGCCAGAGTAGCAGTTCGGACCGCCGAGCACAGGGTTTTGCTCGCCTCCTCCGTGCGACCTCCACCGTGGAAGTTTCGCGGTCATCGGAGCGACGCCACGCTCCCTCACCTTCTCCCGTTCGCCGCGCGTGGCGGCGCGTCTCGCCGCCGTTCGGGCCGCCGATCTTTGCGCCGGCGTCGCCTCCTTCTCCTCTCTCCGGATCTGTCCTCGCTGCTCCAATCGGACCTCTTTGGTGTTTTAGGGTTTTCTCTCTCTTCCTCCATGGCATCTTCCGTTGCCACTTCCAATTCGAAGTTACCTCTGTCGGCTCCGGTGGGTCTCGAGCAATCTGTTTTTACTAATTATGTCAATGTGAATTTACCCATTGATAAATTAGATGGTACGAATTATGCAACTTGGGCATCTGATATTAGACTTTGGCTTGAGAGTCAGGGGTATGTTGATCATCTTACTACCAAGGTAGATGATGTTCCTTCCAATGATCGTGTCCGTTGGAAGAAAGTTGATGCTCATATATGTATGGTTCTCAAGAATACCATCCAATCTTCTTTAAAACAAATTTTTCGATCGTATGGCACATGTTATGACGTTTGGGAACAAGCCAAATTATTATACACCAATGACACTCAACGTCTTTATGGTGTTTGTTACAATCTTCTTGATGTTATTGCTCCTCGAGATAAGGATCCTGTGGCGGATTATGTGGGTAAGATCCATGCTCTTCTCCATGAATTTAATGAGTTATTACCCCCTGCCTCGACTCCTGCCCAAGAATTAGAGCAACGATCAAAGTTTTTCATGGTTTTGATGTTACACGGACTTGCTGATAAATATGCCCCTGTTCGTGACCAGATTTTGGGTTCCCCTGTTACACCCAGTTTTACCGCTACCAGTTCCTCCCTTTTGCGGGTGCCATGTAAACCTCTCAATATTCCCCCTGTAGTTTCTAATGATTCATCTGCCTTGGCCTCTCACCGTGATGATCGTAATCGCTCTCACAAGCCAGGCAAAGGGCGTGTCAAGTGTGACCATTGTGGCAAACTAGGCCACAAAATTGACAAATGTTATGCT